AGGAAATATACGGCATGCTGGATCTAGTTATATATGTCTATAGCTTGAAAATCAATAGTTTTTTTTCTAGAGATGTTTGAAGTCTTAAACGTTTGCTATGCCGTGATGACATAGCCGAGATATAATGCCAGACCATGTGTGTGTCTGTATGTGCGCCTGTATCTGTGTATGTACGCGCGCACGCGCGCGCGTGTGTGGAGGAGGAGGGGAGGGGGTGTTTGCTCGCCATACCTACTCACACATCCAGACACACCCACAGACACGACATGCTAACACCCACACACACAGCCACACATAATCTGGTATTATATCACGGCTATATCATCACGGCTGTATCATCACGGCATAGCAAAAGTTTAGAACTTCAAACATCTCTAGACGAAAAACTATTGATTTTCAAGCTTCGTGCCCATCAAGACTTTTGATCAGGACACCAAGAACTATAGCATACTGCAATTTCAGCCAATTTTACCGGGAGCCACTTTTCATAAGGTTTGTGCGGAGTCCTTCGACCAAAAAAAAAACGAAATGGAAAACTGCTTCATGGATTTTGATGAAATTTGCAGGGAAGGTAGCCTAGGGTAAAAGAAAAAAAATGACTGTGCCGATTTGGCTCAGGTACCCATTTTATTTTTGACAGTCAAATATCTAAAAAAATATGGGAGATACAGAAAAATGTTTCAGACAAAAATTGTACGGTTTCAAGCGGAACAAATAATGGTAAAATTAATTTTTAAAAAAAGAAACAATTTTTTAAGGTCATATGAAGGTCATCGTCATTTTTTTTATATGGAACTACCCTGATTTTTTATATAAATCGATTCCTTGCAGTATTCGGCATAAAAAGTAATAAGGGTAGGATGACCAAAAATTGAATACTTTACGAAATATTTTATACTTTGACATAATTTTACACAAAATATGAAATATTTCGTTAAATATTCATTTTTCAATTATCTTACCTCAACATTATTTTGCACAAAATAATGAGAGGAATTAATTGGTGTAAAAAAACACATAGTTGTCTTTAAGAAAAACATGATATGGTATCATTTCAGTTACATATTTTTTTTATTTTTTCTATTCTATTTCTTTGCTTTTATATAACATCAATATGACAGTGTTTACTGGGTATCCAGTAAAATGGAATGTTACAAGTAATATACATAAGTATTACCAATAAATTATTAGTTAATTGTAATTTCTCTCTCATAAATGTAACATGTAATATGTTATATCATTGTTAGTACGTATGTAGTTATACTCCATATAGAATTTGTTTATATAGAATTGATCATAAAGTTCATAATTAAATAAATAAAAATATTATATGTATGTATGTTAAATATTATATGTATTTAATTTATAAAACCCGCGATTTAATTTGTATAAAAATTCCGATTTTTGTTTCAAATTGGTAGCAAATGTAATATTTCCTATTTACCCGACCAATTTCAAATAACTTGTTTAATATTCTGAATCCCTTATTTGGATTGTATTAGAAATTAAACTGACAAAGAAAAGATATACTTTGGATCTTATGTTACCCGTCCTTTGTAGGCTTTATATGCATTTTATGGCAAAAACTTGAATACGAATAGTTAAATCTGGTTTCGCCGCATAGCGGCAAGCGAAGAAACACGTATATAACAATATTAGATTACAATAATATTTTGTTACATTACTGTTGCAAAATAATACGTAATGTATATTACAGTTTTATATCATATAGGTAATTTGCGTTATATTATTTGTTATTTCCACGTTAATCACTGTAACAAACAGGGTTTATTGGGTACCAATGCTATGTTTTGAAAAATATGGATTTTTGCAGCAACTATATTAGATACAAAAATTTACTATTTATTTTTTTGTTTTTTATTTTATAATATTAAAATAAGTATTTACAAAATATAATAAAAAAAAATTTTTAATCAAATTTTATTTTAAAAAATTTGTCAAAGATATCTTTTATTTTCTTGTAGTCAAAGTAATCTTCCCTCTTTCTCCTCCTTAAAAAATATAATATAATAATTGCAACTGAAATGTAAAACTTACCAATTCTCATATTTGGGCAATTTTTTAATAGTTCCATTTTCCTGAAGAATTTTTAGCATTTGCGTATATTCCACATCTGAACCATTACATATATAAATGTCCTTAGGACAACACAACACGGCACATTTCTCAATGTAGTCACGAAGTTTTAATGACATTTCTACTGTACATGCGTTTAATAATGGTATTTTACCTATGTAATCGTACCTATTTTTAGTCAATGGGTTTTTTGCTGCATAAGTTAGAAAAAATCTCGAGATTCTGAAAAAAAACATAAACCCATTATGATGTAAGGATAAATAAAAATACATGATAATTTTAATTTACAAATATATTGTTTATTACATTTGCAATATTTTTTTTGTTATTAGATTTTTCACGAATTCGTTAACAATTAAGGATCCATAATTGGACCAAAACGTTTTCACATTATATTAATTGATAATAAAAACTTTTTTATTTTTACGCTTTGTCGTCGGCGTTTTAGTCTTTTTTTGTTAACTTTTATGAAAAATTAACTCACAATTATCAATTTTTAACAAAAAAATTAATTTAAAATAATTAAACAATTGTTTTATTAATAAATAATAAATTGTTTAATTAAACAATAATGATTAAAATAGTGATTAGCTTTTTTAATTTATTTTTAATTTTTATATATGTATATGTTTAATTAAAGTCCTGAAAAATCTATAATTTGTCTGAATATAAAGAAAAAATAAAGTTCTTTTTCTTACATGTTTAAAATTTAAATAAAAAAAAATCTTTAATATTTCAAATATGACATATATTAGTTTGGCGATTTAAAACACACACACGCACGCACACACGCACGCACACGAGAGGTATAAATCTAACTATGCAACCTTTACGCGGTACACCTTGGATAATACTAATGCTGGCGATACTATAAACTTCAAGCCTCAATAACTCAAAAAGTGCTTAATGAAAAAATATTTTATTATAGTGTTTTAAAAAGTTCTCAAGGTAAGTCACAAGAATATGCAATGAAAAATGGAGGTTTCCATTTAAAAAATTAAAGGTGACCTTTATGTGGTCTTTGAACGACTATCCAAGGTCAAACCAATGACACTATCTTATGTCTCTCTCAAACTCACAAAACTTTTGTATGGAACATTTTTCTCTAAAATGCTTTGTTTCCGAGATATACATTTGTAACACATTAACTGACTCACCCTGTATATATAGAGTGTCCAAAACCACCCGTACAGGCCTTTCAATAAAAAAGGAAGTAGATTTTATCAAAAATCGCAAAAATTTCGATAACTAAATCGGGTATGTTCTATTGTATGGTGATATTTTCAACTTCCAGTACCGACGGGAAATGGGCTATCCAGACCGTTAAATTGTTTAATTGGAACATGGCACTTTTTATTGCAGATTCGGATTCCCCGGCGAAAAATAAGAAACTTTTGTCCAAAACATTTTTTTCTAAAATGCCTCCCTCAATCTTGAAATAATTTTTAAAATATGATTTACGAATAAGACGTAACTAGATAGGAAATGGGAAATATCTAGATCTGAAGTCGAATTTTTTGAATTCACTTTGTATATCCCTTTTTTCTTTTTTCTTCTTTTCTTTTTTCTTTCTTTCTTTTTTTCTTGTTAATCAATATAGAAACTGACATTTCCAGATCTGTTTTGTTCAAAAATAATCTTATAAATAAACCATATTATTGTGTGCCGCAATATCCCACACGGCTGAAAAAGTTTGAGAACCACTAACTTTAGGCACACGCCTAGAGCATACATCTCACAATCTAGCCATGCGAAACGCGCGTTTATTCGCCAATTCTTTTTAATTAATTTCTTCATAATTATTACAAAAATTGCAAAACGATAAAGGACTTTTTTATTCAGCTTACTCTTTTCTACCCGGTCACGAGCATTGTCGCGGTTATTCTGAAACATCCTATATATACAATATACACAAATACACTAAATTCGTGAAAATTTTTATTTTTAATAATACAATTTTGAATAATTTGGCACTGCGAATTAGAGAATTATTATCTGTATACAGTAAACCCTCGATTTTATGGACTAATAGGGGCGAACGGTGTCCGATAATGCCGAAAATCCGTTAAATCGAATGTTACCAAGAAAAGGACATTTTTTACTGTTTTCAAATTCAAATATTTTAATGCAAAATAGCTTTCATACAATATAGAACATAAATTTATTAAATTACAAGAAAGAATAAGTCAGTGAAATTTGCTAAAAGAAAGCGTCTAGCTTTGCTTTAATTGTTTGATTGCGGAATTATTTAATAAATAAAATAAAAGTTCAGAAATCACAGAAACACAGAGTGTACAATTAACGCATGATAACTTGAGGCAGACTAAGATTAAAACAAAGTAAATCTATTGCACGCTAGTCAAAACAAACGCGATAAGAAATGCTCACGGTGCGGTGGTTAAAGTGTTCATTAAATCCGAAATTCGTTATATCAAGGTCTGTTAAATCGAGGATTATACTTTATTTTAAAGCAATAAATAAGATTAAGATTTTGAAGCAAACAAAAAGGATCAAATAAACCATATTGTGTGTGTGTGTGTGTGTGTGAGTTAAACTTTTTATATATTCCATTTGTTTGTAATATCTTATATTATTTCAGGATTAATTTTTTCTTAATAAAAGTATCAAATCTTTAATATAAAGTTAATATTCAGTATAATATAAAGTTATTTATATTTTACATTAAATTATTATTAAATATATGCATTATAATGTTTATATTATATTTATACTTCATATTAAATTTATACTTTAATATAAAGTTTATATATAAAGTTTTCGGAATATATAAAATTATAAATATATAAAATTATAATACATCTAGATTAAATATTTAGAACTTCACTATAATGAACATAATGTTTGTAATCTAATTTTAATGTAGGTATGTTTGTTATGCTGCTATTAAAAAGCGAAACATTTAAAATTGTTAGTAAATACTTTTTAACTGTAATTTTTTTTCTTATTTTGCACTTATGTAAAACCTACTTTCGTTTTTGTATAGTTCAATTGTACATTTTTTCAACGAACTTATTTATAAAGAAATAAATATTTTTTAAAATAGTGTTTAGTTTCGATAATATAAACATTTTATACTATATAAAAACAATTATTATGTATGTATATACATTAAGTAATATTAATTAAAAATCAAAATTACACATTTTATTCTTCTGTAATGTAATGTCATTACGATAAAATAATGCTTTTCAAATAATTTTTATTTTTAAATGACTTATACATTGCTGTAATATTGTAACTTAACGAATATTCTTTATATTATTTTCAGTATTTATAGTCAGTATTTTATTTTTAATAATAATAATGAAATAATGTTGATTGTATCATATAAATTGATTAAATCTTATTTTTTTATTTATATCACTTATTGTTAGTGTAACTTACGAGGAAAAGCCGAAAAGTAAAAAAACATTTATAATGGCTTTCTGAATAAAAAAAACTTTTTTATTTTATTATTCTTTTAGTACATATATATACGTACGTATATATATATATATATATATATATATATATATATATTTTTTTTTTTTTTTTTTATATATACTTGCAAAATGATACAGATCGTTGCAAAAAGTTTGACATTATTAAAACCATTCAGTATTTTTCTTTAGTATTTTTTTTAATATCAATCATGAGAAAAATATGATTCGTTCAAATAGTGTTTAATAAAAATTATCTCGAATTTTTCTAATTTCTTTCTTTACATTTTGCACTTTTTAATGATATCAATGTAATGTTTATTGTCTTTTTTAATAAAAAAAAACCAAACTAGAAGTACTTACTGCGAATGATAATTATCGACAACGGATGGCATCTTGCGTGTTTTTTGATTTGCAAAGACAGACGGTGTCAAAATATGTATCGAGCGTAAATTAACACGATTGAGGTTTAATTCACTTTTCGAGTTTTCTTTAGTAAAACAGCGGTAATTAATGTAGAAATTTCTTTCACTGTTGAATGGTCGCAAAACTCGTGTCATATTCTTCCAGCTGATAACCCAATGAAGTTTTGACTGCATGTTATTGTATTTGTCAATACGTTTCGTTTATATGCAATAACTAAACGGTCGAGCCCTAATGATCTTTCCTCCCGATTGGTTGACGAAACAAGAATCACTGTCGGACTTTCCGATTAATTAGTGGGGAGCGTAAAATTGTGATATCTCAGACGATCCCACCGCGGTGATCTGCGATTTCGAAACAGTCGCGGATAAGATTTACGTAGCAGCTGATACACACCCAAATGATTCCATATGCTACGTTTCTAACAGTTAAATCGTTCGATCATTCTCGTTAAATAAAATTCAAAGATTTGATTCCAAGAAAAGTTAATTAATATACAAAAAAATTACTAGGTCCACTATTTATATGCACTATTTATATTAATTATCAAACGAAATAAATAAAAAAAACTAACACATAATACAAGCAAATTAATTTGCAAGAAAATAACTAATAGTTATTATATAAATAAGTTATAGCAACATAATATGCACGCGCGCGAACAAATATGAGTTGTTTCAAAAAAGTAAAAGTTTGTGATTGCGGTGACGATTACAAATTTGCCTTGTATTAAATAGAAATCGGCAGTCAAATGGATTTTATACTGAAAGCAGGAACCATTTTCGCTATTCTATTTTTGTATGACTGCCTTGCTTGTTACTTGACTTTCTGCTATCTACTCCACACAAATAACTTATTTACTATCGGCACTGTGCGTGTGTGTGTGCGCGCGCGCGCGGACACACAAGTAAAACTATTACATTGAAAAAAAAAATGAGTTGAAACAACTCGAATCGTTCTTGCATATGGCGAACTAACAGTCCTAATTCTTTGAACAGAATTTTAGTATTCTTCTAATATCTTCTTTTTTTATCTGACTTGATATTTAGTCAATCTGATTGTAGTTAACACAATTAAATTCATCTGTTCAACTCTGAGACTTGGTTGTCACTACTAGAGATGTAAATAGAAAAAAAACGAAATGTTTTTCATAAAATGTGTTTTTTTTGTGAAAAAAAAAGAACAAACCTCGGTTTTTTTTCAGAATTTTGTTTTTTTCAGATATGTATTTAATATATATATTTTGATTATTACAAGTTAATTTTTCTTAATTTTTGATTTTTTAGATAATAGATTTGAATAATCATTATTTTAAATATAGATTACATTTAAATTGACTATATAGTTATGGGTTATGGGATGGGTGATGGGATTACTATTTACTACTTTTAATTAATAGATAAAATCTAAAAAAAAAAGAAATTAAAATTGAATTTGGTATTAGTATTTATTGTATAATAGATATAAGTTTGTAATAAAAAAAAGTTTGTAATATATTTTATTATTTTTAATAATAGTTATCTAATCACAATCTTCATCATCCTCTACACGTTCGAAATTCATTATAGAAAAATCTGAAATTTCATCCTCATCGACTTTATTATTTAAATTAATTTCACTTGCTCTGGACTCCGGTATTTTCTCAGAAATTTCTGATTTTTTATTAAACATCCTGATGCTACCTTAAAGAGCAATGAATTGTGAATTTTGCAACTTTAAATTGTGTGCAATTGTGTAGACAATTTTTGCTGCTCTGTCATTAGTTAATCTATTTCTTTTAGAAGTGTGTATTGCACCATATGTACTGAAGCTCCTCTCGCAGGCAGCTGAGGTGGCGGATAGTTTCAAAAATCGTACAGCTATTTTTAAAAGCTCTGTGCTCACTCTGTGGCCACTCCACCATGCTATTGATGAAATTTGATCAACAGTTTGCCAAAGAAACTGTTGACTGAAAATGTCTTCTTTGACTTGGAAGTTAGCTAAACCATAAAGAACTTTGGTCTCATTATCTCCTGTTATTAATGGTACTTTAACATATTTAGTTTTAACATTTTCTACTGGCCACATCTTTAATTCTGAGTCTAAGTTCTCCACAATAAATATTCCCATGAGAGACGAAGGACAAGGAACATCATATACATTTCTTTTATGACAGAATTCATTGCCAATAATAACATTTGTATTAAGCGTTCTGCAGTAAGCAATATTTTTTATTTCAATAATGTTCCCATCTATTAAATCATAACAATTATCTGCTAATGTATCGATGCGTATTGTTGTATTTAAACATCTCATTATTTTATATTGTGGATTACATTGGTTTGGAATTTTGGATACCAAATCTGGTATCTTTTTTGCTGAATTAAAAATCAGCTCTATAACTTCAGTCTAAAAATACATCAAAAATAATCAAAGAAATATTACAAAAAAGAAATGAATTTTGTTGTTGTTGTCTCGATAACTAATAGAAATAGTAGGTAATAATAAATCAATATTTTATTATTACAATTTTGTATGTACCTTACCTGTTTATTTAACGTCAGATCATAACCACGTTTTTTCGGATCTAGAAGATTACATATTTTATGAACGTCGCAAATAGCAAACTGTTCTCTCTTGGCAATTTTTGCTTTCGCTATTGTTTCTTCATTCTTAGACAAAGGACAGGAAGATAAAGTTCTATCCAAATAACTTTTAATATTTTGGAAGATTCCGATAACTGAAGAAATTCTTAGCTGATCACTTTCAATAAATTTAATAGCAGTTGCTATCGGCTTGAGCAAATCAATAAAAGCTTTTATCCCAAAAATGTTCATTAAGAGCATTTTTCTTTAAGATATGATATTTCTCGATAATATTTTGCACATTTTCATCAATAGCTAATGATTGAATTGCATGCTTATTTATTTGTACACTTTCTAAGCAAGAAACTATTGAACCCCATCGCGTTTCAACAGGTAATTTCAAAGAAATTTTAGTATCCTTCTGTTTTTCTTTAAATGTCGCCAAAAATACATGTGATTGTTTGATTTTTTTATAATTATTATAACTTCAGTTAAAAATGTTTTTAACGTTGACAATTTTTTGAAATCATTGAACAATAAATTCAGTGAATGGGCAAAACATCGGTACGTAAAAAGATTGGTCGTTTTACTTTCTTGTTTTAAAATATGCCATGCAGCTTTCATATTTGCTGCGTTATCCGTAACAAGTCTAAAAACTTTTTGTGGGCTTATTTTTTCAATTACTGAATTTATTTCTCTGGCAATATATTCACCGGTATGTGATTCTTTTCCTGTTGTTAAAATTTTATATAATAAAGGAACTGGTATGGTAACAATAAAATTAATAATTGAATCGTTTCTAAGATGGCTCTAACCATCATACATTAAAGCAACTGATTCTGCAGCCGCAATTTATTCTTCCACAGAAAAATTAATTTTTTTTATATTCTTTTAGTAAAAGAGATCCGGAAAGTTCATAACGGGTTGGCATTTTGAATGCAGACCGTATAAATTTAAATAACTTTAACCAATAAGTATTTTCTACAATACTTAAAGGAGTTCCACTAGCAAAAATAGCTTTAGCCAACAATTCTGTTGCTTTATTTTAATCAGCTAGTTGCATGTTATCAACAAATAATAATATTTGTTTCTTACTGGTCATGCTTGAAGTACTTGCATCTGCATCTGAAAATTCCATAGAAACTTCTGGTGAGGAAATTGAAAATTCCGAATCACAATCTGTTTTTATATATTTTTGTTTCACATTTTTAGGACATTTTATACATGTTTTTATATGGTCTTTCATACGCGAGCCATTTTTTGAAAGTTTTTTGCCGCAGAAAGTATATTTAACGCGAGATATTTTTGCAGTACTTTCAATATCTTTGAATAAATAACTAACTTCTGTGGGCTTGCGCCCCGAACCTTCACGCTTTGGCATACTGAGATATACTATAATAATAAGATACACCGCTCAAAAGACAAAAGACACAAGGAAATTGAAAATCGGATAGTGCAATCGAGCGTTATACGTTATACGCGCTATAGACGTCGGTCCCCGATCCCCGTTCAAAACAATTGAAGATTTTTTTATGATTTATTCGTGCCATTATACTATGCCGTATATATCGTAATTTAGAGATAAAAACAGAAATAAACCAAATTTGTATTTTTTTAATAAAAAAAACACATTTTTTTCAATGTTTTTTTCTTAATTTTTCTATTAAACTTTTCTATTAAAAAAAAAACGGGGTTTTTTACATCTCTGGTCACTACTCAATGTTTTTTTCAGTGTACTATTTGCAATTAATATTTTCACACACTATCCAGTTCCGATAAGATCATATTTATCTTTTATTTGGACATTTTTGGCGTTTACTATAATTTAAAAAAAAGGTACAAAAAAAGGCATCAAGTACACGCCAAGTACAATTATTAAAAATATTATATACGTCTATAAAAAAAGCTGTCGTATATATTTCCACCTTTCAAAAAAAGTTGTATATATTTAATTAATAAAAAAAAGTTGTCGTATATATATAAATATTTTTATATAAAAAAATTTATATATATATATGACAGTCTTTTTAATAGGTTTTATATATAAGATAGTTATATACAGGTGTCCCAAAGTTCGCGGCCCAACCGTCGTGTACAGATAGAGCGGGTCAAACTGAATAAGTAAGTCCTTTACCACTTTGCGAAATTTTCAATAATTAATTAGAAAATAATTAATAAAGATCCGCCAATCCGCGCAAGTATTTCCCGAGCGCCGAGCGCGCGACGAGTAGGACCCACCCAGCATAGCATAATACAAAGCGCGGCAGAGCGGTGGGAGGGACGCTCTCTTGGCTAGCTATGCACAGCTTGTATAAGATAGTTTTTTTTTAAAGGTTTAAATATACAGGGTGATTCAAAATAACCTGATGTCCTTGCAATGCCATATTCTTGAGCGAGTTCTCAGACAATTTTTCCTTTTATAAAATTTTGTCTGAAGCTTAGTTTTCGAGTTCTAATTGAAAATAGTTTGCTACTTACGAGTCCGATACAACGGACAGGCAGGGAGGGTGCAATGCGTCATGAGACGATAATAAACACTTGACAGTCTCATTATACGTTGCGCGTCTCTGCCTGCCCGTTGTACCGAACTCGTAAGTTGCTACCTATTTTCAATTATAATTCGAAAACTAAGCTTCAGACAAAATTTTGTAAAAGGAAAAATCGTCTCAGAATTCGCTCAAGAATATGGCATTGCAAGGACATCAAGTTATTTTGAATCACCCTGTATACGACAACTTTTTTTATATTATATGTATTATTTGTGATAAAAAATTTGTTAT